TCAGGGGCTGCCTTATCAATTATTTAGGATCCCGAACCCCGACACGAACCCAAAACCGAACCCAATGCGAACTCGAGCATGCAATTGTCATTGACAATTTCACCTTTGTCTCTCCGATTCGGGGGTTGTTTTTGTGGAACCCCGAACTGCACTTTTGATCGGAATTCGGGCTTCTCTCTCACTCTCTCCCCTCTCCGCGTGGAGGGTTGATTGTGTGTATTGTGTGCGTGGGGCAAACACACACACTCGTACACATTTGTATTAGGGTCATATTTCTTGTAGGGTTTCCAGCGAAGTTTCATTTGAATTTTATTGCTGTGTCGCTCTGTCGCTCTGTCGGTCCCCCCAGTTCGAACTTCCCCTTTGTTCTACTTTGCTCGGCATATTCCTCTTGTTTTTGTAGCTGTTGTTTCTGGACTACCCCGCACCACCGATGCCGCGTGGGCCACCCTTCTGCGGTCGGCATTTACTTTATGGATGGACTTCCCCCAGCACTGCACTGCACTGTCACTTCAATGGTTTACTGATTTTCGGGCAAACTTTAACTGCCGCTGCAAATATACAAAAATGAAATATGTTCTTCCGTTAATAACTTTTACTACCCCTGAATAGTCTTCTACTTCCGTTTTCGTTTCTATCAAATATTATGTCACGCCTAATGAATGTGCAGCTATGAACAATATGTTCGAGCCAACGCAAATCGATTAGATTCGCAGCTCCTGATAGTTGCCATTGGATGGATGATATATGAGTGGTAGAGAAACCTCAATGGGAGAGAACTTTGCCCTCTTCAAGAGCAAAACAGTTCAAGATCCAACAGACTCTTAGGGCATTTCCATGCTATCGAACGGGACATTTGTACTCATTGAAAAAATATTTCTCCAATATAAAGTAGCTTTAGGATTAGCCCTATAATTGGTGCTAGGCTCGATATCTGGCAGCTATGCGTTTCAGAGATTTTTGCAAAAAACCAAGGCTTTTAGACTTTTAGTAAAAACTTGTATCAAGAATCATCTTTCTTATAGGAGAGCATAGTAAAGGAAAACATGAAAAAAGAGACCATGGAAATGCCCATATGAACCTACAATAGGAATGGAGCACATTCTTGGAGCAAACTTAGTAAAATAAAGACTTCGATTCAATCGTTTTCTATAAATTTGCATAACAAGTTCTCCAGATAACGATATTGTTGTTTTCATAGCTCATTTCAAAGCTTGTACAGTAGCTTTCTTCTATCCATATCTACGCCTCAAGTTGTCTCAAGTGAATATTTGCACACTTTTTAGGCACTTTTCTGCTTTTGTTTAGGCTTGTTTTTAGCAGATGTCCCATCTGTGGTGGCGGTGTTGGTTCAGCGTTAGTTTGTCAGGTGCCTCGCTCGTTTCGGTTTCAGCGCAAATGTGGCAAAACTAGTTTAAGACCATATTTTCTGCTTAATTGCAATATTTTTCCAAAGTGTTTCCAGCTTTCAGCCACAGAGCGAGCAACTGAATGGAATGGAATGGAAGGTGGCCGAGACCCGAGTCTGCGGGCAGAGTGTGAATTTGTTCACCTTCTATTTATTTCTATTTATTCCGCTCTTTGGCTTTGCCTTTGGCTTTGGCTTACAGGGAATTTTGCATTCCGAGAATTGCGTTTTTGGCTCGGTTCCTTCGATACCATTATTGGTAATCCCTCTGGCCTACTCTTCTATTTTGGCCACCAGTGTTTTTCTGCGTTCTGCGACCAACAATACAGCACAAAACAATCCCTGCTGATCGCCACAAATCAGGCCCGAGTACGTGCCGGGCATCGGTAATCGAAGAGAATCGACCACAGAAGAGCATGGCGGCACGTCCCGATGGTCAGCGGCATTTTATCGTCTTCTTCGACTTTTGCTGGCTTTTATGAAAATTTCCCTTTATGAGCTCTGCGCGCTCATCATTATGCATTCCGAACAAGAGGGAGAAAGAGAGGATCCTCTGCCGGGCCAACTAATAAGCGCTTTAGCACAGAAGCCACGTACGCGACTTCATAGAGTTATTAGTGCCCTATATGGTGGCTTGGTGAGGGGGCAGGAGGCCGTTTCTGTGGTCGCTATGCTATATATCATACAAGTGCATATAACTAGGAAATATTCAACCTAACAAATAAAGTTTCCCATGGGTATTGTGGTCATTGGAGGAGAACCGAAGGCGAACCAGCAGCAGCAGCAGAGCCAAATGCACCTCAAATTGGACAAGTGGAGCCAGGAGGGGCCAGGAGAAAGAAGTGCTAATTGCAAGCAGGACGGAAGAGGGAGGAATTCATTAGCGAAAACTCGGAAATCTATATGAAAATTCCCAGCCAAAAGAAGGTTTGGCAAAGGCCAGCTAGACAGCAATAGATATTGCGGCTTACAAACATTCCAAACGGAAAGAGGCGGAATTTAATAACATTTTTCCCGCCTCTTCAGCATCGGCTTGGGTTCAACTATTGTCTTTCTCATTTCAGGTTATTTGCAATGCGTAGTCCTTTCGCAGGAAATCTGAAATCTGCAGCCAGGTAGTCGTCGGCCTGTCTGGTTAGTTTTTATTGTAATTGAAACTATGATGAATAGCCAGCGAGTGTTAATGAGTACTTTGGGTGCCATAGCCATGGATATTCCACTCCGTTCCACTGTAATTAATCAAAGCGAGGCCTTGGCAGCAGCCTCAGCTTTGGCTTCCCCATCAACAGGTAGTAAAACGCCAAGACGTGCCCCATCAATACTACTCGCCTGTATCCCCATCTGTATCTGCAGCTGGAGCTGGAGCTGGAGCTGGAGCTGTGTCTGTTTTGTGTATCTGTATCTTTGTCTGTCACAAGAAGCGGGCGTCGGGTGTCGTGAGTGACAGAACGAGTTGAGTCGAGTGGAGTGGAGTGGATTGGAGTCCGAGGAATGAACAAACTCAAACTGGGGCCGCGCTCTGCGATCTGCACTCAAGAATCCAAAGAGAGGTGCTGGTATCCAACAGATACACACCTCGATTGGAGCCGCTTGGGAAATACTGGTTTTACTTCAAGCCAAGTTTGCCACAGCACAAAGATTTGCTTTCATTTTTCCGTTAAAGATTGCCTCTCTGGGTGTGTGCGTGAGTATCTGAGAGATACCTCTCTCTCAGAGAGTACGCATGTGTGTGTGCGAGAGAGAGAGAGAGCCAAGACTTGCAGGCAGTATCTGTGTCTGGGCACACCTGTGTGTGTGTTCGTGTTCATGTATCTGAGAGAGTCCACACTGTACAGGTAGCTCTCGACCTGGCTTGGCTTGTTCTGCCTCTACCTCTACTACCTCTCCACTGCTTGAATCTCTTTTTCCCCGATTCTTTTCATTTCTTCTCGTCTGTTATGTTAATCCATTGGCCAAACATCCTATCCCATGCCGTCCCATGCTCTCGGGCCCCATACACACCTGAGGAGTGTACGGCGGTGGCGGTGGCAGCTGCTGCAGCTGCGCACAGGTAGCCGCCGCCAGAAGAGGTTATTTGATTACTCAACCATTTTTCTTCAATTTGTTCTCTCTGTCTCTCTCTCTCTCTCTCCCTCGACCTGACGACTGCGAGCCCCTCTACCATGCCACATGTTGCCGGTGAAACCCTCACGTAGCGTCGGCATGTCCGGCCCAAAATTTCTTGCAGTTTTTTTTTTTGTTAACCGAAACTCAAAGATTGAAAAGACATCTGTCGTCCGTCGGCAGTTCAGCTCTATTTTTTTTTTGTTTTCTGTGTGGCATTTCCGCAAAAAGAATTTTTTCATTTTTAAGAAATTTGTGGGTTTTTTTCTGTTTTGGTACTCGAAATATGCTGTTGTACTTGAGAATGCATTGAATTGATTTGAAATTTCAGTATTTGATAGACCCTTGACATCCATCCATGTCGATTCCAATGGATCTTGTCCAAAAAGTTGAAGTGCGGGGCCCAGCGCTTCAAATGTCTGATGGGTTTTTTGTGAAGTTTTCTGACTCAAATATTGTACTAAGAGTCTATTGAAAAGTAACTTGAAGGAACAGATTTCTGGCACTGAATCTGCAACTCTTTTACTTCAAAGTAGAGAAGATTTTCCAGCTTCCAAGAGTAGCCTCGATCGACAGCTGCAATGCCGGACAGTCCCTGATGCAGCTGCTCCCACAAATGTACGTCTAAGCCAGTACAGTGGCGATCTCTGGGCCGACTCCTGACATATCAGTCATGCTAATCTTAGTTCAACAGCAACGGATGTCATACCCTTGTGTAGAGAGATGCAGCTGCAGCACCTGCTCCAACAGATACACAGACACACAACAAGAATTTTTCCATTTTCCATTTGCCGCTTATTTACCCGTGAACTGCTCCAATTTTGTTCATTGACTTGTGCCGCAATCGATTTGTTCAAACCGAACTGTCGGGCGACGGGCGATGAACGGACAAATCCAAAAGGCAAGCGTAACCTACTTTCCGCTGATAAGATAATGACGCTTTTCCTCCAACAACGACTGTGCCCCCTCAGCCAATGGCTTACCAATTAACCAGCGGAGCATACTCTATATACCACCACGTATCCAGTAGTCCGGTACCGTATGTATGTACGTATTAGGTACTTGTCTAGTGTAGAGCAATTCCATTTGTTGTGTTCTACGTGGAGTGCCCTAGAGCCCCTTAAACCAGCTGTTGTTCCGACTTGTATGGTATTTAATCCACGATTTCCAATGAGCACTCCATTGCTTCCGTATTCGCGCTTATCTCTCACCCGCCAAACTGAATAACACACGAGGGACTATGTTTCGATTTTATTATTTTTATTTTTGTTTTTTTTTACACAATTATTGTGTGTGTGTTTGTGTGGCTTTCTCGTTGGTTTGTAAATGATATACATTTGTTTAATATAGTACGTACTATCCTCGTATATAAATAAATTGTTTCTTTAATGTTGATTCGCCTTGGCATGTAAAAAGTAGGGGTTCCCCCCTTATGGTTTAAGACTCCTCTCTTCTAGATACGGGAATACGGGAAAAAGGCTTACAAAAATACATATCGCAATGATTTATTGAACATTTTCTTATATATATAAACTATATTTCGATGCCTATATAGCATGGATATAGGCTGCACAATCGGTACTCCGTTCTCCCGCGCTAGCTCGATTCGATTTAGATTTATGTTTATGTTTAAGCTGATTTATACACGTAGTACTAGGGGACAACGACAACCCTAAGAACTTATGCTGATATTGATGGGGTCGGGTTCGGGTCTAAGGTTCTATATAAATGATGATATATACGTAAACGGTTAGGTTAGGATAATATTTAGCTTAGTTTATCGACTTGTCTTATCAAATTGAGTTCAACTTTTGATATAATGAAGTGTTTTGTTTGTCTTGAAATCATGTATGGGATGGGATAATAAACTATCAGATAAACTACGGACTAATGTTGGGAATATGCAAAGTAAAATGCAATTTGTTACTGAATTCGCTTCATAGGAATATTTTGTTTCCTCCTCCTCCTCCTCCAATTGGGATCGATTTCTTCTTGATTTTTTTAATGAATACACTGCACTCTGCATTAATTTGTGTGTTTTGTTCGCAGTTGCTTAGGTTTAGGATTATGGTCTAGTCTAGATATATGTAGATAAAGTTACGCTTACGTAAGATCAAGATCACTTTTTGCATTTACAAAACAGAAAACAAAAACGTGTCCTCAACGTGCCCCTTCCCTTTCCACTCTTCTATATAAAAAAATGGGCTATATATACTTCTTGTACATACATACATATGTGTAGCTCTTGAGGCGACTTTGGGCCCGGCTAGGCCGGCACCCGGTCCCCCTGCACATCCTCCTCTCCACACCAGTCAGTATCCATACAACTCTTAGCGTATAAAAAGTCTTTTGCATTTCTACGTCATCTTTTTCTCCTAGATGCGCCAGCCCTGCTCGTCGTCCACATTGGAGTCGGTGTCGGAGGGCTCCTCGCCGTACATGTCGGCCAGCTTGCGGAAGCGCGGTCCAAAGTTGGACAGATAATCGAAATTGAGATCGCCGTCGTCGGTGCAGGAGGCCAGGCTGGACAGACTGCCGTCGGAGTTGCCGTCGCCCTCGTAGGCGTAGTGGCGCACATCGTCGACGGTGAGGCCGCCGGAGTCGCGGTCGCAGTTCTCCTTCTTGTCGCCCAGGAAGTCCCCGATGTCGGGTATGTCGTTGGGATCCCGACCCATGCCTGACTGCAGGGCGTGGGGATCCTTGTAGAGCTTCTCCTCGTAGAAGGGCTGGGTGCGCAGGACGTTCAGGTCGTAGTCCGTGTCCCGCTCGCCGCCGCCCTCGTCCTCGTAGTTGATGATCGTCTCCCGTATGTCGTCGATGTCCTTCTCGTGCCAGCCGTTCTTCTGCTTCTTCTGCACCACCACGGCCAGAAGGATGATCAGCAGCAGCGCCAGGCAGGCGATGATAGCAATAATGAAGTTCCGATCGATGCCGAAGCTGAAGGCCACCGCCACCGACTGCTGACAGCCGCTGTCAATGTTTCGGAAGACCGAGGGCATTCCCAGGTTGTAGGTGTGCTCGTTGATCGTCAGGTTGCGCACGCAACCGAAGAATCCCTGCTGGGTGGGCACATGCGTCCAGTTGAGCTGCCGTCCGAGCTGCGCCAGATCCACGGGACTGCCGCCCAGCTGCAGGGGCGCGTTCACGTTGAGGAACTCGTTGGGCCCCTGTGGGGCGCCCAGGCTCATGCAGGTGGACAGGCGGCAGTTGTCCACGGTCATCTCGATGCTGGTGCGCTGCAGGATGATGTCCAGCTGGTAGGAGCGATCGGCCACCATCCGTATGTGCTGGTGCTTGATGCGTATGCCGCCCGAGCCGTAGTCCACCGTCAGCACGGGATAGCCCTTCTCCAGCTCGAGGGCCAGGAAGTCGGACAGCGGCAGCAGAGGATTGTAGTTGAGGGGCCCCAGGTACATGATCAGGCCCTGGTCGACCTGTGGTGTGATCTCCAGGCTGATCTTTGTGTTGTCGCAGGCGGATATGGGCTCGTAGAAGGCGTAGCCGCTGCCGTAGAAAGCCACCGATACGAGCTCGCAGTGGGGCCCGGTGAAGCCGTCGATGCAGTCGCAGACATCGTTCTCCCCGTAGCGCGGTGTCCCGCCGTTCAGGCAGTGGTTCAACAGCAGTGCCTCGCACACACACTGCGCCTGCACGAAGGCATTGACGCCCACGAAGGAGGTGGTGTTCGAGTAGATCATGTAGGGAACCGAGCTCTTGTGCAGCTCGTTTGTGCAGGAGCTCTCGCACTTGAGCCGCTCGATCAGGCACTCGTCGATGTTGACCATCAGCATCTGGAGATCGAGCTCGTTCTCCAGCCGCTGCTGATTCTGAGCCACCATTCCGTTGAGCTTCTCGGGCGAGTAGTACGGCGATCCGTGGGCGGAGTAGCGCACGTCCAGCGTGTTGTTCTCGTTCTGGAGCACCGTGAAGACGTCCACATTGGACACCGAGGTGTTGAACAGCTTCGACAGCGAGTGCTGGAGGCGGTCCTTCAGGGATAGGGCCTCCGGGGACTGCATGTCCCGGGGCACGTAGATGAACTCCTCCTTGGTGATGTTGATGAAGCGGATGCTGCCGCTCTTGTCCACCGCCTCCTCCGGCAGCTCCCGGATGACCACCGTGACGTCGGCATCCACCGAGTGGTAGGGTATATAGGTGGACTCCTCATCGACCGTGAACTCCAGCACGTACTCCCCCTCGCCGGTGTGCTGGAGCATGGTGATCATGCCCGTGCTGGGATTCAGGCGGAACTGATCGTGGGAGATGTCGTTCTTCCACTTGAAACTCTTGTCCTCCAGATCCCAGTCGTCCAGATCGTCGACAAACACCCGCCCGATGTCCGTGTCGGGCGCCTCGCCCTTGTAGTTGTAGATGAAGATGCGGGAGGAGCCCTCCGTCATGGCATTGTCGTTCACATCGCCGATGATCAGGTGCAATATGCTCACGGCACTCTGCCGCGGCACCCCCGAGTCGCTGATGCGTATGGGTATGTAGTACTCCTTCTGCTCCTCCCGGTCGAACATCACGTTGGCGAAGAGGTAGTCGTTGTCGATGCTGAACTTGGTCTTGATGTCGGGCGAGGCTTCGCTGTCGATGCCGTAGGTGTACGGGGGACCGTTCTGGACGTCGTCAAAGTCGTTCGACTGCAGCTGGACGACCTGGCCGGGATTTCGGTTCTCGGGCCACTTCACTGGCATTTCGTTGACCAGGAAAGGGGCATTGTCGTTGATGTCCTGCAGGGTGATGGTCACCGCCTTCACTGACTTGAGGGTGGTGCCCACGCCGTCCTCGTCGCTGGCGGAGATCAGAATCTGCCAGTTCTTGTGGCCGTTGGGCGGATCGCGGTCCAGGGGCTGGATGAGCCGCAGGCAGCCGCTGTTGTCGATGGTCAGCAGCTTCTTGTAGTCGTCCTTCACAATCGAGTAGACAATGTGCTGGTCTGCTGTGCGATCCTTGATGTCCGGATCGTATGCCTCGATCGTCAGGATGCAGTTGTCGAAGGCTCGCTCCTCCTGGATGGTGATGCTGTAGTCCTGCTTGAACACCGGCGGATTGTCGTTCACATCCTCGATTTTGATCACCACCGTGGCGTAGTCGTCGTAGATCCCGTCGAAGGCTCGCACCTTCAGTTCGTATTCGGTGATCGATTCGTAGTCCAGGCGTTGGTTCACCGTGATCTTGCCCGTCTTCAGGCCAATCTTGAAGGCGTCGCCCACGTTGCCGCTCTCGATGCTGTATAGAATCTGCGAGGCGTTGTCCTCGTCCTCGGCCATCACCTCAATCACCTCGTAATTGGTGTTTGCATCCTCGAGCAGCTTGTCCGCCAGATACTTGGTCTGCTGGAAGTGCGGCTTGTGGTCGTTCTTATCGCCAATGGAGATCCGGAACACCTGGTGGCCCCGATTGGGCTCCCCGTTATCGAACAGGCTCGACGGGGAGTTGTCGCTGGCGATCACCTTCACGTTGTAGAAGTCGCGCTCCTCCCGATCGAATGTCGTGAGGGCCGTAATGTTGCCCGTGTGCCGATCGATGGCGAAGAAATCCCGATTGTCCGCCAGCTCGAAGGACACAATGTTGTTGGCCGCCGTCCCATCCATGTCGAAGGCGCGCACCTGCATCACGGGCGTGCCCGGCGGCTCGTTCTCGAGAATGGTGCCCGACTTGACCTCGGTGAAGTAGGGAATGTTGTCGTTGACGTCCTCGACCTTGATCTTGATCTGGTGCTCGGCCCCCAGCTCGAAGGTGTTGCGCACACTCATCGTGAGGGTGTAGTCCGTGATGGCCTCGTAGTCGAGGTGCTTGCCCAGGCTGATGGTCACCTCGTTGCCGAGCTGATTGAAGACGAACGTGTTCTTGCCGTTCGTCTGCTCCGTGCGGCCGGTTATCAGCTCGAAGATCACCTCAGGCTTGTCCGGCATGTTGGAGACAGCCGTCAGCGTGGCTATGGGCTGCGAGAAGTTCTTGAGGTCCTCTTTCAGGTAGATGGGCGTATCGATGGGGTCCACAAAGGTGGGTGGCTTGATCGAGGACTCCACAATGCGTATCCGCACTTCGATCTGGGCGTCTTGCGGCGGATCCGGCACTATGTTGTACGCCCGCACATTGATCGTGTACGACTGTCCGGGTCGCTTGTCAATCGGTCGATTCAGATATATGATCCCCGACTCCCTGTCGATCTTAAAGTACTGAAAGTCGCGCTCCCGCAGTATCTCGTACTCGATGATGCTGTTGTTGCGGTCATCAAAGTCGCTGGCACTAATCGACATGATCACCGCGTCGGGCTGCAATTAAAAGACATGGGGTATAAGGCCTCGAACAATATCACAAAGACGTTTAAGGGGGACGGGGTCTCTCTCTAAACCGCACTTTCCTGCAAGTTTGCCCAAATCAGGAATAGGCACATCTTTCCTTCGCGAAATCCACTGCGCTTCCCTCCTTACCAAAAGTGCAACCTAAACTGAAACCTTTAAAAGGAAAATGCTCGGCTTTCAGAGAGCTTTTCTAAAAATACTACACAGAAATGAAAGCGGAATGGAAACGGGGAAATGGGGTTCTCCCCCGAACGATTTGTATGGCATCACTGGCTGGCGGAAATAGTATTCCATTCCATAAGCTTGAGATAATTTCCTGGAATAATATATATTTGTGGATCCCATTAATTCCCCTTGGGGAACATGTGTTTGAAAAAAGATTCTCAAGATTTATGGCTCGGCATAGAATCAGAAACTATCCAGACTATAAGGGAATTTTCACAGGTTTCTTGTATTGTATCACAAAACTTTGCTGACAAACTGTACACGGTCGTACTTTGCATTGGACACCAATTCGTTATTCTCGCTTCCACTAAGCTTTTCCATTGCCTGGCGACAGTTTTTCCGTCGTGCAAAAACTAGTGGAAAAACAGAGAGAAAAGGCGGCTGGCTTTGGCTTTGGCTTTGGGCGTTGGAAAGGGTTTCAAGGTTCTCTGCATCGGGCCGGGGCGAGCAATGAACTCAAACCCGTCTGAGAGCCTCCTACGCTGCTTGTTGCTGCCAGGAAAACTTGTTCCGCCCAAGAAGATGTGTTCGCCCGAAGAGAGCAGAGCCCACAGAGCCCACGGAGCTGTTAATTATCGCTGGAAGTCGCGGGACCCTCTGTGAGGTGTTTGTGTGTGTGCGGGCAGGTGGGCGACGGATAGGCGACAATGGCAATGACCCATAAATTGCCACTAAGCCAATTAAATAGTTGCTCAAATATCATGACATCATTCAAGGGGGGAGGGGGCGGTGGCATGACGTCACTCGTGGACCGTCGCACACAAAGAGTGAAGGAAGAGACCAAGCGGCAGTAATCCAGGGTCCGCGTACTTGGTCCTCCGTTGTGCGGGACAGTTCGAGTCGTCCACACTTACCTGTGCATTTTCCGACATGGACTCGTCGTAGCGCGCCTTGTTGAACACCGGGGGATTGTCGTTGATGTCCTCGATGGTCACGTTGAAGGTGCAGACATCGTCGAGCGGCGGCAGGCCGTTGTCCGTGGCCTGGACGGTGACAAACACGAACTTCTCGTGGATGGGCTCGTCCCGATCGAAGGTGTGGCCGGTGACAATGACGCCTGTGGTGGGGTTTATGAAGAACTTGGGTCGTTCGGAGCGCGACTGGACGAGACTGTAGCGTATCTCCTGGTTGGGATCGGGATCCGTGGCCTGCACCATGAAGACGTAGGTGTTTTCGGGCTGCTCCTCCTTCACGGAAGGCGCATAGCCCGCGCAGTTCTTGAAGGCGGGCTTTCGATTGTCGCCGGTGTAGTTGTTGTTATCCGGCAGCGTCTGGGCTGAGAGGGCGGGTGAGATGATGCTGAGGGCCACGGCCACGGCCATGAGCAGCCTGCTCCTGTGGCTGTGGCTGTGGATGTGGATTTGGCTGTGCCTCCGATCCCGACATTTTCGTTTGTGCTGCTGGTGTGTCTGCTGCTGTGCTGGATTCGGACTCGGGTTTAGATTGAGGTGATTGCTGACCGACATTTTATTGCAGTTGGCTGAACACTTGTGGAATTTCATTTAGCAGACATCCGCCATATCTCAACTTTTGAGCACTTCTTTTGTGAATCACCCCAGTATTTATCCACTAGAACACACACACGGGTACACACACGGTACACACTCGATCACTACCACTACTTCACCGCACACCTTTTACTTTTACGTTCTCTCTGCTCTGCTCTGCTGTTTTTGTATTTCTATTTCCACTTTTGTTAGCTTCTATCTCTCAATGCATGGGTGCATGTGAGCATGTGTGTGTGTGTGTGTGTGTGTGTGCGAACTAACGCTGACGTCGACGTTCCACCGTTTGTTTAGACTGCATTTTCATGGCAACCAGCAGAAACAGCCGCCGGGAGACCGTCTAAACATCAATATCGAACAAATTGAAACAAAACAAATCGAACCAAACACGTACAGTTCGCGCTTTTATTATTTTTCCAGGTATTTTCCGATTTATCTGCTGCTTTTTCTCTTATTTTCTTCACTTTTATCTTTTTTTACACACTCTCTTTTGCGCTCCCTTCTTCGGACGCCGCTCTCTCACACACCGCAAAACAGGTAAGACCAGGTAGAAAAAAAGTGGTTACCATACACACACTTGTAGGCAGGCGCGCGCGCGTTTGTGTGTGTGTCGTGGTTTCAGTCTTTTCGTATTTGGTACTTGTTACCAACTCATTCGTGTTTCAAGGCACTGTTTTCCTTACTTCATTACTTGTTCTACACTTAACGCGAAATTACTGGTAAATTAATCGTAAAATCTAATTTTCAGTTTCTTCTGTTCGTTTCATTCCCGAATCTAGCCGAAAAAGTTTCGTACAACACGATCCAGCTTTATTTATTTATTCCGATCGACGCGCCGCGACAACCGCGCGGTTCAAAAGTAAATTGCAGAGTGACCAGTGTGACTTGTCGATAAAATACACCGTCTCACCCTCAGAAATATACCGTAATATGCGGTCTCATTTGAGAAATATACCGCAAATATACTGACGAATTCAAGTTCAAGTTTACATATTCTTCGTTTTCTTTCTTCCGTTGAATATTGCTAGCTATATAGAACTCTTAGCCATGCCCACTCAATTTTGTACGATTGATGAATCAATTCTATACATGATTGGCCTATTCGAAATACTTGCATTTATTGGATTTTTATATAACATTGAAAATTAAATTAATAGTAAATGTCAGCGATGTTTTTTGAACTAGTGATAGTGATGTAAAAAAACATCGATGCATCGATGGACATCGACATCGATGTTTTCATTCAAATTTACATCACTAGTGTGAATTGCAGAGTGACCAGTTTGACTTGTCGATAAAATATACCGTCCTACCCTCAGAAATATAGCGTAATATGCGGTCTCATTTGAAAAATATACCGCAAATATACTGACGAATTCAAGTTCTATTTTACATATTCCTCGTTTTCTTTCTTCCGTTGAATATTGCTAGCTATATAGAACTTTTAGCCGTGCCCACATAATTTTAGCCCATTGATGAATCAATTTTCTACACAATTGGTTAGTTTTTAATCCTTGCTTTTATTGTATTTATTGTAAAAAAAGGGTTAAACGAAAAAGTTCAACAAAAAAAACAGTCGCAATGTTGCTGGTATTTGATGACATGATGCGTGTATAGGCCTCTGTGCACCCTATTTCGTTAATTTTATATGTAGATCAAACGCAATTTATTAAGACCTTTTCTCAAATTGATATTCTTTAGACATATTCAAGTACAATTTTAGTATCTTGTATATATTTATGTCGATCCTGATACCTAATGACCCTTGGAAGACAAACGTATTCACAATTCTATAACATCCATTTCCCCCAGGGTATGTGTGCATGGAATGGGACTCATTGTTGTGAACCGGTTATGACGACTAATTCTTGGTTAATCTTTCTTCCGTCGAATATTCCCAGCTATATAGACCTCTTATTTTTGCCCAGATAATTTTATATGATTGCTGAATCAATTTTGATTAGGATTAACTACTTTTAAGTACTCAAAAATCTTTTATTTTGACAAAAACACGATTTCACCAAAAATGTTCAATGTCGCAGGTTGTGACGTCAATGTTGCTGGTATTTGCAGACTCATTTGTTGTCAACCAGGGTATGAGCGGTTGTACACCCTATTTCGTGAATATTATATAAAGATACTGTTTTCCAAGCTGCTTTCAAATGTAATTAATAAAGGCCTTGTTTTAGATTGCATTTTTTTGGTCTATTCATGCATTTGATTAGTTATTTGTATATAAAACCTGATCCCTGTAGCGATTCTTTGTCTCTGTAAGAGGACCACTAATTGCAAAATATCGTTTAAAATAGATACTGACTAGTTTCTGCATTAATTAGAGCATGGGATGAAACACATTTCCGCAATTCTATATCATCCATTACTCCCAGGGTATGTGTGCATGGAATTAGCAACATGTTTGTGTATGGAATGAGACTCATTGTTGCAAAATCGAAACTGCGGCGAATCGGGTATTGCCTATATTTCAAGCTATAGATGCCCACTTAGCTTTATCCCATAGATAAATGCATTTTCTACAAGATTGCTTCTTTTAATTACCTTAATATATTTTATTTTGACCAAAAAACGGTTTTCAAGTAAATGTTGCTGCAACAGTGTGTATGGAATGCGCAACATTGTGTATGGAACGAGACTCATTGTTGCTAAAGCGAAATTGTGGCGAACTGCGGCGAACTGCGGCGAACTACGGCGAATTCAAATTCGATTAAAAAAACGACCAATTCTTTGTTCCGTTGAATAATACTATCTATATGGAACATTTAGCCATGCCCACTTAATTTTGTACGATTGATGAATCTATTCTATACATGATTGGCCTATTCGAAATACTTGCATTTATTGGATTTCTATATAAAATTGAAAATTAAATTAATATTAAATGTCAGCGATGTTTTTTGAAGTAGAGGTGGAGAACTATCGATTGCACTGTCGATGTTTTTCGAAAACCTATCGTCTACTATCGATGGTGCCCACTATCGATTGCACTGTCGATGTTTTTCGAAAACCAATCGTATACTAACGATGGTGCCCCCTATCGATAGCAGTGTGATCGCGGACTTATCGTTAAAATATATCGTCCCACAGAAATATTTCAAAATATACGCTCTCATTTGAAAAATATACCGAGTGGTGCGCGCCAAATCGAACTTTTTTGAATGTGAGCGACAAGGATTTAAATGTTGTCAACCGGGCCTTTATCTATGCCCACATAATTTTATACGATTAGTGAATAAATTTTCTACTTAACTGGCCAGTTTTTAGTCCTTGCTTTTATTGTATTTTGACTAAACAAGGTTTAAGCAAAATAGTTCAACAAAAAAACAGTTGCAATGTTGCTGGTAAATTAGCAACATTTGTGTATGGAATGAGACTCATTGTTGCAATAGCGAAACTGCGGCGAATCGGGTATTGCCAAGCTTTATAGATTTTGCCACTTAGCTTTATCGCACAGATAAATACATTTTTTACAAGATTGCTTCTTTAAATTGCTTGTAAGTATTTTATTTTGACCAAAAACGGTTTTCAAGTAAATGTTGCAGCAACATTGTGTATGGAATGGGACTCATTGTTGCTAAAGCGAACTGCGGCGAATTCAAATTCGATTCAAAAAACGACCCATTCCTCATATTCTTTGTTCCGTTGAATAATACTATCTATATGAAACATTTAGCCATGCCCATTCATTTTTGTACGATTGATGAATCAATTCTATACATGATTGGCCTATTGGAAATACTTGCATTTGTTGGATTTTTATATAACATTGAAAATGAAATTAATAATTGACAAAAATACCATTTAGCACTAAAAAAAACCACATGGGAGCGCGGCGAAAACCAGTTTCTACAGTATGACCCTCAGAACAGCACCGAAATATACAAAATATACCGAGTGGTGCGCGCCAAATCGAACTTTTTTGAATGTGAGCGACAAGCATTTAAATGTTGTCAACCGGGCCATTACCGATTCAACAAATAGGATTCCCTCAATTTTGATCTTCCGTCGAATATTCCCAGCTATATAGAATATTTATCTATGCCCACATAATTTTATCCGATTAGTGAATCAATTTTCTACGTTTCTTTTAGCGAAGAAGGTCAACAAATGAAACTGCTGTCTAACTAAAACCTTTAGCTCTGCCCACACAATTTTGGGCCATTGATGAACACATTCTCTTGATGATGCGTGATTCTCCCCATTTCGTTAATTTAATATGAACAAGACTTTTGACAAGACTAGACTGAATAGTAAATTAAGTCGATTTGGTTCCTTCTCTAGGTAGCTCACCTTGCAACTCTCTTAGAGATGCGCCTGTACCTGCAGCGGTAAGCTATTATATTAAAATCGAATTTATGAACATTCTTGAATGCCATTTATAACAGTTTCTCGTTAGGGTATTTGTTTTTTTAATTTTTATGTGCGCTGCGGTTAAATTCATTTTCTCTCAAACGATATATCGAAAAACCATCTGTCGCAAATTCCAAAACCATCGATAGTGCCATCGATGTTTCTCCAGCCCTGCTGAATCGTCATCGTTGTCCTATTTTGAGAAAAAAAGATCACATAGTTTTGTATATCATATCAAAGGAAAAGCATTAAGAAAAACAGTCGAGTTGTCAGTATAGTAGTACTACTAAACGCAGCCCAGCAGCACCGGCCATAGAAACGAGAGCACGAGCAACGAGGAGTGCAGAAAAGAACACACAAACCAAACAACTGCCCCTGCCCCTGCACCTGCACCGATTTCGTGAATCACCAACGGAATTATGGAACAAACACAGATTACAGATGCAGAAAAGGTGCGCATTGTGTCCGACTTCATTCTGCACGCTCCGCCCGGCGAGTTCAACGAGGTGTTCAACGATGTGCGCGAGCTCCTCAAGAACGACGCCCTGCTGAAGGACGGTGCCAGCCACGCCTTCTCACAGTACAACAAGGACCAGCTGACACCGGTGCGCATCGAGAACAGCAACCATAGCGCCATTATATCGGAGTTCAACGATTTGGGTTAGTATCAGGCATCAGTGAATCTGCCCATATATGGGCATAGTCATGCAGCAGCGATCCCATCCCCCCTCGCCTGCAATGCTGATACTTAATTGTGAGTCACGAACCCCAAACAGTTCGACTTTGTTGATATCTTTCGGGTGTTCGTCTTTGCTGAAGTATACATACCAAAAGCCAGAGACTTTCCTTTACCCACTGATAAGGCAACGAAATAATCTTTCAGGCAACGGTCGCTTCTATGATCCACGTACAAACAAGGCCTTTAAGTACGATCACCTACGGAAAGAGGCCTCCGACTACCAGGATGTGGAGGCGGATGCCGATTCAGAGCCGTGGAGGGCGGCCCTGGACTTGGAGACGCTTGCATACACTGCCTGTCACTATAGACACGGGGTAAAGGAGCGAATCCATTGTTAAAGCACACAATAACGTTATTTTTGGGTTTGCAGGTCAGCTCGGTTTTTGGAAAGTCGCAGGGAAACCAGATCACGCTAATCATTTGCATTGAGGACCACCAGTTCCAGCCGAAGAACTACTGGAACGGCCGATGGCGTTCGCAGTGGCACGTCACCTTCCAGGCGGGCAGTGGCCTGGCCGAGCTGAAGGGCGTGTTGAAGGTGCAGGTCCACTACTACGAGGACGGAAACGTTCAGCTAGTGTCCTCCAAGGAGTGCCGCGAGAGTGTAGTGGTCACCAACGAGCAGCAGATGGCCAAGGAAGTGATGCGTCTCATCGAGGAGGCCGAAAACGAGTACCAATTGGCCATTTCGGAGAATTATCAAACGATGTCGGACACAACTTTCAAGGCAATGCGCCGCCAACTGCCCATAACCAGGACCAAGATCGACTGGAGCAAAATCGTCTCGTACAGCATTGGCAAGGAGCTGAAAACGCAATAAGACCAGGAGCTGCAAGCGGAAGCGGAGGCGGAGGCGGAGGGGACACAGCAGCATTCGACTAAGCGGCCCAACAGTCTTCCACTTGCAATGGCCAAGCGTCGAGATATGTAACTGAAGAAACAGCAGCATTAACATTATAACATCCGAGGAACAGAAGGAACAGAACACGATCACGAATACAACTTTAAACTAAATGTCTGTAATTTGCCTATATACAACATACATACATACATATACATACATGCATATATACAACGTGTATTTACAATGTGTTATATATAACTAAACTAACGATGAATGCACATGCATAGCTATATAGATATATTTAATTACGATCCGAGATGATTCAATTAAATGGATTTGGACAATGAACGATGCGCTGTTGCCTCGTTTGGGTCACAGTCAGTCAGTCGCCACCAATTGTCGCCTTTATCGTTTAAGATGAGCATTAAACGCGGTTTTTATCATGTACGGTACGAGTACTCTTGACTTATGTATTATTCTAATTTTAAACAAGACAAGACAAACACAATATGAGCAGCTCGTGTGTGGGCACGTGACCGTCCCGTCCAATTGCAAGAGTGCTTGACTTGGACTGCACTTGCACTTGGAACTGCGCCTCCGATAGAATGTGTTTCAACTATTTTTAGAGTCCACAGTAACACCTCAATAGTACTACCTACATTCATCCCGTCAAGTTTACTCAACTCAAACACTTCCCCGATTACTAGCATAGGAAGCAAAATAATTGACATTTTAGCCAGCTTTTCAATAACGAAAGACTTTAATTTTTGTAAAACAACAACAATAAATGTGTAATTAAAACAACTTAAATATTAAACATTTAAGATTGCTTGAATTAGTAAAATTTAATGAGAATAAATTAACTAAATCGGAAATTGTTACTACATTTCTATAACCCATTTCATGGCTCTTTCAGTGTCTTGCCTCCTGTGGTTGTGGTCGTTCGTTTAGGGGCTGTTCATAAATCCTCTTCGTTACGTTGTCCTGCTGCGAGGCTTCTGTCTGTTGTGGCGGATTGGGCAATGTGGCATTCTCCCACTGCTGTGGGCTATGAGCCTCGGGCAGAAGATAGTCTAGCTCGGACTTTTCGGATTTCTTGAGGAGAAAACGCTTATCTGGATTACGCTTTGTTTCCAGTTCCAGTCGGTCAATCAGCCAGCCTTTGTCTGGTAGATTGGTCGCCCAGAAGTACAGGGTTCCTGCAGAGAAGTGGTAAAATTCTCAGTAAAGGTACATCTTCTGGTCCTTTAGCTTACCTTTGTCGTTGCTGCCATGCACTGAGACCTCCAATTGTGCCTTCTCTGCATTGCAGTTATTATTTGCGTTGGAAAGATCAATGCCCGACTCTCTTATAGGTTCACCCAACAGCTTCACAGCTCCCTTGTGGTGTCTCAGGGCACTGATGGCCAGCTTGTAGTAATCACAGGATCTGACGCGATTCTCCATCCTCCAGCGCATGTACATGACCGCTGATATGGATGCAACAGCGCCGTAAACGCATATGTTTCCCAGGGTCTTGTTGGAGGGCATTCGAAATCCCGGCATTTTTGATTATATTATTTTTTTTGCACTTGTGTAATTTGTTATAACCGGCGCTGACATAGAGGTGGAATTGGGGTTATCCGATAGTATTGATGGTTCACTGACTAGGGGATATCTGATCAAAAAGAATCATAGACATTTAGTACTACTTCCCTTTATATATTCCCATTTGGCATGTGATTTAATGTATTAACTTAAAAAGAAGGAAAAGGCAAATTTATGTCGGAGTTTAAATTTGATTAGCGATATATCTCGTGAGTGTCCATCTCTATGTTGTGGCGTGGCCATACCTTCGCATACCAGGGCTGGAGTGTTGCCGCGTTCGCAGATTATACAACAAAACAGAAGTTTCAGCAATTAAATGGTTATTTTTCAATTAAATTGAAGCGAAACCGGAAGTGCATAAATATGAGTAGCTTAACTGCGGCATTAGCTATGCTTAGACAGCGTGTGATCGCTCCAGCACTGGCAACATCAACACGTTGTTACGCTGTCAAGCCGGCGGCACCAGGTGAGCCTCAATCTCAGAAATCGTAAATCAGATCAACTCTACCTTTATCCGTGCAATGCAGCGGCGAAAAAGAAGAAGCTGGGAAAGCTTGGACCCATTATGGAAAAGAAGGTCATTCCAGTAGAAACAGACGCCAACAAACTGGTGGGCTATGTGTGTGGCAGTAACTACCTAAAGACTGGCCAGGACGTCAAGGTGAGTGCCCCAGAGAGGGTATGAGACTATCAAGCTCTCATCGTTTTGGTGTACCTTCAGATCAAACCGGATGCAGAATACCCCGACTGGCTGTGGACCCTTAACACAGAGCGGATAATACCCCTGGACGAGCTCGATCCCAATTCGAAGCAATACTGGAGACGGCTGCGAAAGCTGGCCCTGCGCCGCAATAATCAACTCTCCAAGCTGAAGAAGTTCTAGAGGCTTTCGTCGTCGCTGGGTTTGGGCCAGCGCTAGCGTTTAGTTATTATTGTTTCGGAGACTAGGCATTGGCCTTCAACCTCCTTAAGTGTGTAATCGTGTTGGACCTGTGTTTGCCTTGCTGTCCGGCGCAAGTACATGAACACTTCGATTATGTTCTTTGCTAAAGTAAATAACGTAAATACATTTTACAACGACTTGCACTCCTTATCAATAATCTCGTTCGTATAAAAGTCGCAATCTCGACGGAAAGTTCGATCAATGCAGAACGAGTTTCACAAAGAGAAATGTGGATACGATCATCGGAAATTCTAGTGCTGCTGCTTGGGGCAGTCCTGATGGCTGCATCGTCAGTCGCTCAAGGCAATGTGTCAAGTAAGTACCCACTATCTACCCTCCGATGGCCAACGATGCCTAATCCCAACGTTTGCAGAGCACGTCGTCTGCTATCAGGGCACCTGGTCAGTGTACCGACCAGGTACAGGCCAGTTCGGTGTAGAGGATATCGATCCGTTTCTGTGCACCCACTTAATATATGCCTTTCTGGGCATCGAGGAGAGCGGACAACTGCGCGTCATCGACTCCTATCTCGACTTGGAGGACAACAGTGGCCGTGGCAACATCAAGAGCTTCAACGCCCTCAAGCTCAAGAATCCCACACTGAAAACGTTGGCGGCCATTGGCGGCTGGAACGAGGGCTCAAAGAAGTTCTCAATCGTGGCCGCAGATGCCGAGAAGCGGGCTCGTTTTGTGAATGATGTGGTCCACTTTCTTCAGCGACACGGCTTCGACGGGCTGGATCTGGACTGGGAATATCCGGGTCAGCGTCATAGCCTGGATAACGAGGATCGCACCAACTATATTACCTTGCTGAAGGAACTTAAAGAGGGGTAATGTATATGGGATGTATCTCCATAGACTGTTCTGCTGTCTGACACGAGCACTCCACGTTTCCCAGGCTCGAACCCTTTAGCTATATTCTCAGTGCCGCCGTCGGATCAGCTCAGTTCTCTGCCGAAACATCTTATGAAATCCCAGCCATAGTTCCCTATCTGGACCTGATCAATGTGATGGCCTACGATCTTCATGGGCCCTGGGATGAGGTGGTCGGCATCAATGCCCCCCTGTATCCCGCTGCCAGCGATAAAAGCGAACGCCAGAAGCAGCTCAATGTGGATGCCATCTTCAAGTACTGGCTGAATGCGGGTGCTCCACCTGAGAAACTGGTTCTCGGTGTCCCCTTTTATGGACGCTCCTTTACCTTGGCTTCGGCCGATAGCCATGAGCCGGGTTCTCCGCACATTGGACGCGGAATTGCTGGAAAATATTCCCGCGAACCGGGCGTTCTAGGCTACAACGAGCTCTGCGAGCTGATGCAGCAGGAGGATTGGACCGAGAAGTGGGAGACGGACCAGCAGGTTCCCTATGCCTACAGGCAGCGTCAGTGGGTGGGCTATGAGAATCCACGCAGTCTCTCTCTCAAGGCCCAGTATGTGGTGGATCACCACTTGGGCGGCATCATGATCTGGTCCCTGGAATCCGACGATTTTCATGGCACCTGCGGCCAGGAACGCTACCCCTTGGTCCACGCGATCAATCGAGTGCTGTTCGGCAGCGACACCCCCACAGGTCTGACTCCCGAACCGAGTAAGGAGTTGGATGAGGAGGAGGAGAAAGAGGGATTCAGCTGCCTGGCTGATGGCCCGACTGGCTTTGTACGTGACCCCCACAACTGTTCCAAGTTCTACTACTGCAATGGAGGGATCACCCACAGCTTCGACTGCCCCACTGGGCTCAGCTTCGACCCCCACACTGACGGCTGTAACTACTCCGCCTCAGTAAAGTGCTAACCATGCCCACATTTGATCCGTTTCGATGTTTTTTATTTGATACACTTAATACTTATCGGGCTATTCGACAATCTTGAGATTCACAGGCATGTTCTCGAAGTTGTAGAGCGGCTGGCCCGGTCGCCAGGTGACAAAGTTCTGATCACACTTTACCATCGCCTTTGGCATGCATTCGATCCTGGACTCATCGAAGTAGTAGCCCTCCAGGCACTCGTAGTCGATGCGCTCTCCATTGCGGCACTCGTAGTAGAGCTGACAATCCCAGAGTTGGCGAAAGAACCCATTTTTCGGGCAGAGACCCATTGACTCCGTTGTGGGCTCTTCGGGAGCCAGAATACTGACGTCACCAAGGGCGGTGAGGATGACACGTCCCAGGCTGTGGCTCTCTCCGCACTTGCCGTGATAGTCATCCGAATCGATCGTCCAGGCCATGGCGCCGCCCAGGTTATTTGACTTCAGCAGATGCATCTTCGCCCAGATGCTGCGGGCATTCTCGTAGCTAATCCAATGGTTGCCTTTGTAGGCGTACGGCACCTGTGCCTGCTCATCAAATTTCTGCGTCCACGAGCTTGCGTACATGCACCATTCACCGTAGGTCATAAAGCCGGGCTCGCGGGTCAGGGGTGTCTTGAGGCCCGGACCCTTGCAGGGAGAACCGACGGTGGTTTTGTCGTTTTCCATGATGTAGGAGCGCACGAAGAGGGGAATGTTTAGGATTAGCTTCGCTGGCGCTTTGCCCAGCTGCTTCCAAAGCTTTACGGATTCAATCACGCTGTTTTCGCCTGAGAGTGGGGCGTTGTAGCTGAGATGCATCTGATACGGATCCCGATTGTCGTGGTGCATTAGGTTAATATAGTGCACATACTGGACCAGTTTGGGAATGTCGTACCACTCTAGGGTGCTCTTGTCAGTTCGCCCCAAAACTGCCACCATCAGAATAAATTGATGCTCCTGGCAACTAGAGAACGGGAAGAACGGGAGCTATTAGTGGTTGCACAAGAGCTGTGCCGTGGCTCAAAGCTACGTACATTATCTTCAGCTCCTCCAGCAATAGAATAAAGTTCTTTCGATCCTCAGGCTTGCCGCCGCGCTGCGTGGGATAACGCCAGTCGATCTGGACGCCATCGAAGCGCCACTCGTACATGAATTCGACCAGCGACGTGAAGAACCTATCCCGCTTGCGAGCGTCCGCTGCCATCTTGGAGAAGTCGCTCGACTCCTCTAGCCATCCGCCTATTGTGAACATTACCTTTTTAACGTTGTCTCGCTTGAGGCGGTGTGCGACATTCAACATATCTGAGGGTACAGTCCGAGAAGGTTAGGTTGAATAACATCCCCCCATGTACACATGTAGAATTTATCTATTCTTACCATTTTCGACCAGCAGATACTTGTCAGTGATCGTCACGTCGCCAGTCTCCCCATCCACACCCACGCCAGTGCCGTAGACCAAATGCGTGCAGAGCCTGAGATCGATGTTCCAGGAAAAGAACTTGCTCGAATTCTTATAGTAGTAGGACCCCACATCGTATTGGCAGAATATCTTAACTGCGCAAACAATACTTTACTCTCTGGGTTTCCCCTTTACTCCTCTCTCTTTCCGCTCTTGTACTTACAATCCTTCGCCGCACAGCCGTAGATCATGAAGATCATCAGCACAAACGCACAATTAAGTGACCACATGATGAACACAATTCAAAAGATTAAAACTTGAAATTTACGGGATTAATAATCTAAACAACACAAACAAATATATTCAATTTAACCGATGTATTTGTAACTTTCCCGTTTTATATTCTGTAAATTTTAGATCAGGCGAGTTGAAAAGTTTGGAGTATTATGTGTTTCTGAATAACCGTCCTGGCGATTCTGTTATAGTGAATTCTATCGAATCTAAAAGGCAAAGAAAAGAAAGGCAACCAGATTGCTTGGGAAATATTTCAATGAACATTTTTACGCTTTTCTGACAGTACTCGCATCGTATGCTGTGTTCTGGATAAAATATCAAATAGAAGAGAATAGAAGTATACAAATCTTGAAGTGCACCAAATGAAGCATGAATGAGGTCGTAAAGTTAGTATGTCTATATGCTGTCTTGTCGTTCAGCTTTGACTAAAACTATTGTGGGACCCTTTAGTTGTTTGAAAAGAAAAGCGCAAATTCTTTCAGATATTAGATATAATATGCTCAGTATCTGGTATGGGATGGTATGGGCTACTCCACAATTTTAAGAATCAATTTGGCGGAAAGGTATTAGCATCCGTGATGAAACAATTCTACATAGAACGGGTACTAGCGCGTAACTCTCTTGCTTTTAGTGCGGCTTCCAATACCTCACATTTGACCTCTTTCATGGGCCTGCATTCGGACTTGGCCTCGTCGAAGAATTCTTGCCAGCGGCATTCGTAGTCGGATCGATGGCCAGCTGAGCACACGTAGTAGAGCTGACAATCATTAATGTCGCGAAACACGCCATCTTTCAGACAAGGTGGTGGTTCTGTTGGAGCCTCCATATCCACCAGGACTGTCTGGGGGTCGAGGGTTTCCAGTATCACCCGTTCCAGGGCGTGTTTCTTTCCGCATTTGCCCGAAAAGTCATCCGCATCGATTGTAGAGGATATTGCGCCACCAAGATTTTGGGACTTCAGCAGCTTCAACTTCTCCGTGATGCTGCGGTTATTCTCGAAGCTAATCCAATGGTCGTCCCTATAGGCATACGGCACCTGTGCCTGCTCGTCAAATTTCTGCGTCCACGTGTCTGCCTGTACGCACCATTCGTTATAGGTCATGAAGCCGGACTTGCGGGTCAGGGCTGTCTTGAGGCCCGGACCCTTGCAGGGAGAACCGACGGTGGTCTTGTGTTTTTCCATAATGTAGGAGCGCACGAAGAGGGGAATGTTCAGAATCAGCTTCCCTGGCGCTTTGCTCAGCTTCTTCCAGAGCTTTACGGATTCAATCACGCCATTTTTGCCAGAGAGTGGGGCGTTGTAGCTGAGATGCATCTTATACGGATCCCGATTGTCGTAGAACATCAGGTTGACATAATGCACATGCTGGACCAATTTGGGAATGTCATAGTATTCCAGGGTGCTCTTGTCCGTTCGCCCCAAAACTGCCACCATCAGAATAAATTCATGCCCATCGATCCTAGGGAAGAACGGAATATTGATTAGTGTCTTGACAGCAGCGGAGCGGTATGTGGAGCGTATTTATCGTACATCGTCTTCAACTCTTTGAGCAACAAAATAAAGTTCTTCCGATCCTCAGGCTTGCCGCCGCGCTGCGTGGGATAGCGCCAGTCGATCTGGATGCCGTCCATGCGCCACTCATATATGAAGTCGATCACCGAGGATATGAACTGTTCCCGTTTGCGAGAGTCCGCTGCCATCTTGGAGAAGTCGCTCGACTCTTCTTGCCATCCGCCGATCGTGACCAGCAAACGCCTAATGTTTTCTTTCCGAGTCATCAAAGCGAAGCTCAGAAGGTCTAAGTATGTTGGTGGTGGTGTTTAGATACGGTTCTATCGAAATGCTCTAGTATTCTCACCATTTTCTAATATTCCATGTCTGTCCGTGATCTTCACTTTACCAGTCTCCCCATCCACACCCACGCCATTGGCGTAGACCAAATACGAGCAGAGTCTGGGATCGATTTCCCAGCTACTGAACTTGCTATCGTCCAAATAGTCGAAAGACGCCAAATTGTATTCACAGAATACCTTAACTGCGCAAACAATACTTTACTCTCTGGGATTCCCCTTTACTCCTCTCTCTTTCCCCCCTTGTACTTACAATCCTTCGCCGCACAGCCGTGGATCATAAAGATGATCAGCAAAAACGCACAATTAAGTGACCACATGATGAACACAATTCAAAAGATTAAAACTTGAAATTTACGGGATTAATAATCTAAACAACACAAACAAATATATTCAATTTAACCGATGTATTTGTAACTTTCCCGTTTTATATTCTGTAAATTTTAGATCAGGCGAGTTGAAAAGTTTGGAGTATTATGTGTTTCTGAATAACCGTCCTGGCGATTCTGTTATAGTGAATTCTATCGAATCTAAAAGGCAAAGAAAAGAAAGGCAACCAGATTGCTTGGGAAATATTTCAATGAACATTTTTACGCTTTTCTGACAGTACTCGCATCGTATGCTGTGTTCTGGATAAAATATCAAATAGAAGAGAATAGAAGTATACAAATCTTGAAGTGCACCAAATGAAGCATGAATGAGGTCGTAAAGTTAGTATGTCTATATGCTGTCTTGTCGTTCAGCTTTGACTAAAACTATTGTGGGACCCTTTAGTTGTTTGAAAAGAAAAGCGCAAATTCTTTCAGATATTAGATATAATATGCTCAGTATCTGGTATGGGATGGTATGGGCTACTCCACAATTTTAAGAATCAATTTGGCGGAAAGGTATTAGCATCCGTGATGAAACAATTCTACATAGAACGGGTACTAGCGCGTAACTCTCTTGCTTTTAGTGCGGCTTCCAATACCTCACATTTGACCTCTTTCATGGGCCTGCATTCGGACTTGGCCTCGTCGAAGAATTCTTGCCAGCGGCATTCGTAGTCGGATCGATGGCCAGCTGAGCACACGTAGTAGAGCTGACAATCATTAATGTCGCGAAACACGCCATCTTTCAGACAAGGTGGTGGTTCTGTTGGAGCCTCCATATCCACCAGGACTGTCTGGGGGTCGAGGGTTTCCAGTATCACCCGTTCCAGGGCGTGTTTCTTTCCGCATTTGCCCGAAAAGTCATCCGCATCGATTGTAGAGGATATTGCGCCACCAAGATTTTGGGACTTCAGCAGCTTCAACTTCTCCGTGATGCTGCGGTTATTCTCGAAGCTAATCCAATGGTCGTCCCTATAGGCATACGGCACCTGTGCCTGCTCGTCAAATTTCTGCGTCCACGTGTCTGCCTGTACGCACCATTCGTTATAGGTCATGAAGCCGGACTTGCGGGTCAGGGCTGTCTTGAGGCCCGGACCCTTGCAGGGAGAACCGACGGTGGTCTTGTGTTTTTCCATAATGTAGGAGCGCACGAAGAGGGGAATGTTCAGAATCAGCTTCCCTGGCGCTTTGCTCAGCTTCTTCCAGAGCTTTACGGATTCAATCACGCCATTTTTGCCAGAGAGTGGGGCGTTGTAGCTGAGATGCATCTTATACGGATCCCGATTGTCGTAGAACATCAGGTTGACATAATGCACATGCTGGACCAATTTGGGAATGTCATAGTATTCCAGGGTGCTCTTGTCCGTTCGCCCCAAAACTGCCACCATCAGAATAAATTCATGCCCATCGATCCTAGGGAAGAACGGAATATTGATTAGTGTCTTGACAGCAGCGGAGCGGTATGTGGAGCGTATTTATCGTACATCGTCTTCAACTCTTTGAGCAACAAAATAAAGTTCTTCCGATCCTCAGGCTTGCCGCCGCGCTGCGTGGGATAGCGCCAGTCGATCTGGATGCCGTCCATGCGCCACTCATATATGAAGTCGATCACCGAGGATATGAACTGTTCCCGTTTGCGAGAGTCCGCTGCCATCTTGGAGAAGTCGCTCGACTCTTCTTGCCATCCGCCGATCGTGACCAGCAAACGCCTAATGTTTTCTTTCCGAGTCATCAAAGCGAAGCTCAGAAGGTCTAAGTATGTTGGTGGTGGTGTTTAGATACGGTTCTATCGAAATGCTCTAGTATTCTCACCATTTTCTAATATTCCATGTCTGTCCGTGATCTTCACTTTACCAGTCTCCCCATCCACACCCACGCCATTGGCGTAGACCAAATACGAGCAGAGTCTGGGATCGATTTCCCAGCTACTGAACTTGCTATCGTCCAAATAGTCGAAAGACGCCAAATTGTATTCACAGAATACCTTAACTGCGCAAACAATACTTTACTCTCTGGGATTCCCCTTTACTCCTCTCTCTTTCCCCCCTTGTACTTACAATCCTTCGCCGCACAGCCGTGGATCATAAAGATGATCAGCAAAAACGCACAATTAAGTGACCACATGATGAGCACACTTCAAAAGAATAGAATAAAACTTGAAATTTCGCAGACTAAAAATATAGAAATTAAAAAAAAAATACTTGTAATGCCCCTATTCTGTATTCTCAATTTAATGTCGAGTCCAAAGCAAACTTGATCTAAATGTTCTTATCGAAACTTGCTGGTAATGCTAAAAATATATCAGATGGTAGTAGGCAATCCAAGAATGTCGTGTATGAATCATAGTGACAGCAGTTTACGAGACTATACTGTGTAATGTGTACCAAATGTGTAACATACATTTCAATGGAATAGCCTTGTAGGGGGTAAATATTAGAGTTTCGAGGACAATTGCATTATTATTACGCTTATCAATAATGCAATATTGAAATTGACTCATGGCTTGTTAAGGCATTATCACTAGACCTGCCGGATCGCCGGGCGGTGGACAAGTGACTAATTTTGAATACTATGAGCACTATTGGCACGAAGTGTCGAAAGTGTTTTTTTTTGTTCATGGAATCTAATCGTAATTTGTTTAGTCATAAATCTGGGATTATCTTTCAATCGTTGCAGGGGTCCGGCCAGTATTTTTGGCCACTTAAAGATCTCTGTTTATAGTCTGATTAAACTCTGATTTGGTTGTATTTTTGCATTAATTTTAGTAGGGACAGTTGGCCTCTTCCGGCCAATTGCAGGTGTTGATGGATACATCGAAGTGGAGGCCCGGGGTGCACTCGAAATCGTAGCGGAGGCCACCGACGCACTGGTAGTATCTGTTGCAGTCGCTGCTGTGCAGGAAATAACCATCGCTGGAGCAATCTCCAGCTGGGGATCCAGATCCACCACCGCCACCGCCACCGCCCTGAGTTGGACCAGGAGTGGGAGCTGGTGTCACATTGCCACCACCTCCGCCGCCGCCGCCGCCGCCGCCGCCGCTCACCTCCTTGCCGAGAGCGCGGTTCATGGTTTTCAGAAGGGGATATGACTCTCCACAGAGGCCGCGGAAGTCGTCCGTCTCAATGGACCACATCATGGCACCGCCCAGGTTGCGCGACTCGACCAGCTTCATCTTCATCTCGATGCTCTCGGGATTATCGTAGCCTATCCACTGATCGCCCTGGAATGCGTACGGGGCACCATTCTCCTGGTCGAACACAGTCTGCCAATTGTTCAAGCAGATCTCGTGGTATCCCATGAATCCGTTCTCTCGCGTGTACACGCCAGCGGAGCCAGGGCCAATGCAAGCGGCTCCAGGCCAGTTTTGTGAGGCATCGGCCATCTGGTAGCTGTGACCATAGAAGCCAATGCCCAGGATCAGCTTCTCAGCGGGTGCACCTGTAAAGTAAAGGAGTACCGATTAAGAGGCTAGTTCTGAGTCGGAAAAGGCAGGCTGTTGTGGATACCTTGAGCCAGCCAGTAGTCAATGGACTCGGTCACCTCGGGCAGGGGGGCATTCAAGCCCAGGTAGCCATCGAGAGCCATGTGAAAGTCGTAGGTCATCACATTGATGAAGGTTAGGTGCTGGGAAATGGCCGGAATATCATACGAGATTTTCGCCGACTTTTCAGACGCGCCCACAGCAATGCCCAGCTCCAGGCCATACCGATCGTAGCTGTGTTTTAGACGAGAGAGATCTAAGAATTGAGCTCTAATTTCTTCTGGATATATCGTAGACTCACGTTTCCTTGATCTCACGGAGAAGGGTGACAAAGTTGACGCGATCTGCCTCCTCATTGCCTCCGCGCTGCCCGGGATATTCCCAGTCGAGGTCCAGACCGTCAAAGCCGTATTGCTGGATAAACGCCAAACTGGTGGAGATAAAGGTGGCACGCTTGCCTGGATCGGCGGCCATTTCCGAGTACTTAATGGAGCCCTCGTTCCACCCACCCACTACAGCCAGGATCTTAAGCTTGGGATTCCGTTGCTTCAGGGAAATGGTCTGACTGATGAAGCCTTTTCGTCCAAAAAAGAGCGAATAGAGAGATCTCCAGGAGGAAAGCTAACACCTTCAGCAGCTTAGGTCACTTACCCAGTCCATCGTCCATGTCCAGCCAGGTGTCCAGGGACTTGAACTCGCCCCCATCGCCGATCCCGAAGAAGGTGTAGCTGATGTGGGTGCACAGGAAGGGATCGATATCGGAGGGCGTGAACTTGCCATCGCCCGGACGATAGTTGGCCCAGGTGCCCCAATAGCAGTTGACCAGCTCTGCAGGAGATGATGGATCGATAATGGGTTAGGATCAGAGATCTTCCAGCTCCCTTTCCAAACGAACTTACTCTCGCTGGTGGCCACTTGGCCTAGGCAGAGGCAGAGCACTGCAAATGCCCAGAATGAGTATAGCTTCATGGTATGCACGCTCTAAAGAGGTTATGGCTTAGGGCCTGCTCTGGCGTGGCTTATATAGTGCCTCCGATTCCGATTGCCGAAGAGCTCTTATCTATCGGGAACATGAAGTTTGTTTGTGGCGTAGATAAGTCTCTTAGTGATCGTAATCGCCGTAAAGCAAAACAGTTCCCTGATATATTGCATCCACCAACGAGATTTCAACTATTCAAGTGCCCATCGACACAAAACACCTGTCAACGTCGATATCTCCATGTATTTGAGATTAAATTATGTTAATAAATATACATTTTGGAGTCTCCTCTGGAGTGCATCTTGAAATTGAGCTCGTGCTTGGCATGGCAGTAATTCAAAACTCGCCTTTAAGCTAACGATAGGGTAAGTACTCTTTCACCTTTCAAGGGATCGGATCTCAAGTAGATTGATTGGACTCTGTAGCCCCCCAAAATATGCCACAGCTTGAGAGAGTCACAACTGCTGGATCTTTCAGCTTATGGAATGTCTGTGTCATACGATCGTGGCCATTACTATAAATATACACAAAGATCAGCAAAGTACGGACAATTGATTTCCATTACCAAGACTTTGGATTGGAAACCAAACAAATGCTTGCTTTATGACTATGAATTAATCAGTCTTAAGCATTCAATGAACTATTCCTCGATCCGTTCCCCCAGTTTCCCCATCATCTGGGATAGCAATACTCATCTAAAACCAATAAGCCCCACAACTTGGGAAGTAAGCCATATAGGATTGCTTGTGCGTGATACCCCAATGATTAAGAGAACCAAGAATAATAGCCAGATTGTTTTCAATACATAATTTCTTTATTTATAGTACTTGTACTCGATCCTAAAGCATTTACCAACGCAACTTCCTGTTGATGGTCTTCAGGAGCGGATAGGACTCGCCGCACTGTCCGCGGTAGTCGTCGGTCTCTAGAGACCAGATCATGGCACCGGCCAGATTCTTGGACAGAGCAAAGTCCATCTTGTACTGCACACTGAGGACATTGTCGTAGCTGACCCACTGGTCGCCAGAGTAGGCGTAGGGAGCGGCGTTGTTGTAGTCGAAGACGGTGTACCAGTTGTTCAAACAGATCTCGTTGTAGCCCATGTATCCGCTGTCGCCAGTGTAGGGGCCGGAATTACCGGCTCCGCGGCACGGTGCTCCAGGCCAGTTCTGGGAGGAGTCGGACAGCTGGTAGCTGTGACCGTAAGTACCAACACCGAGGACGAGCTTGTTGGCAGGAGCACCCTGGCTGAGCCAGAAGTTGATGGCATTCTCCACAGCCCACTGGGGCGCGTTGAAGCCCGTGTAGCCATCGGAAGCCATGGCGAAGTCATAGGTCATCACGTTGATGAAGTTCACGTGCTGGGCGATGTTGGCGATCTCATAGGAGCCGCTGGCCAGCGATTCTCCCGCACCGACAGCGATTCCCAGCTCATAGCCGTAGGGCGCAAAGCTATAGGAGAAAATGGTTGTTTTCAGATAAAGGGTGATTCTTAGGTGATTGGGACTGTGGACTTACGCTTCCTTGATTTCTCGCAGTAGGGTCACAAAGTTGGAGCGATCGTCCCAGTTGCCACCACGTTGATTGGGGTATTCCCAGTCCAGATCCAAGCCATCGAATCCATTGTTACGCAGCAGGTTGAGGGCCGAGTTGATGAAGTTCTGGCGCTTGTACCAGTCACCGGCCATCGAGGAGTACTTGGTGGATCCCTCGTTCCAGCCGCCGACCACGGCGAGGACCTTCAGATTGGGATTCTGACGCTTCAGACCGACGGCCTGGCTAATGAAGCCCAGATCGTAGTCCAGCCACGTGTCCAGGGAGTTAATATCGCCATTGTCGTTGATCCCGAAGAAGGAATAGCTCAGATGCGTGCACAGACCAGCGTCGATGTTGGAGACATCGAACTTTCCATTGCCGCTGCGGTAGTTCGCCCACGTGCCCCAATAGCAGTTCACGATGCCTGGATTTGTTAAAAGGATATTATCGGATACAACACGACTTATAGTTGCACTCACGTTCAGCACCGATCACCTGGCTCAGGCAGAGGGCCACGAGTAGTGTCAATAGTTTTCCCATTTCAGTAATGCTGGCTGAGATCGAATCCCTCACTGTATTTATACCTTCCTACCATAGGCCATGGGCCCTATCGTTATCCCTATCCTTATCCTTATCTAGGTAGGTATGCTGATAGCTCCTCCACTCGACTGACAAATTTATTGAAGATTATGTACTCGAAAGTGTTTTGAATGTGCAATATTTATGGGACTCTCGTCTCGGTATCTCAATTTCAAACTGATTTCTGTTGCCCATCACTTAGCTCTTCGGTGAAGGAACTTTATAGACCCATTAAATTAGGGGATAAGAAATTTGTCAATTAATTTTCGTTCTAATTATACTTTCATTGGTATTTCATAGATAAATGGAATCCGAGGGGCAAAACATAACTTCTTTCATTGGAAAGCATTTCAATTATCATCCACAGAAGTACGACAGTCCAATCCAAGGATTCTTTCGTAAACAATCTCTTGTCGTTAGGGACAGATCTCAAAGAAAATATTTACCCCGATTTCTCATTTAAGTATCAGTTTTCCGTCCAAGCATTTCCATCAGAGACAATTCAACATGTAGTTGCCTACTTTAGGGCGTGTTTTTTATTTTTCTTAAACATATACAATGTTTATTTTAGCAATTTGTGCGAACAAAATTATAAACTTTCGGACGTCGATTCGAGATTCGTTAACAATATTGAATAGAAATGCAAGAATAAATATAATCCATAATTTATGCGTCCAGTTGAACTGTAAGCCGCGCAGATAAACAATTGTGATTCAGTGCGTGTTTCCTCAGAGATTCCGAGATTCCCAAAGGGTATCCCAGATTTAGTTGGCGACGTAGATCTCGAACTCCTTGTAGGCCAGCTCCTCGCCGCCGTAGGGGATGTAGCAGCAGCCGTGAGAGGGCTGAACCTTTCCCACGGTTATGGTGCCGTCGTGGGTGGCGCGGCCGATGAACAGGGGCTCACCTTCGGCAGTCTCGCCGGCGGGCAGCGCGTTGGGTGGAATGTTGCCAGCCTCGACGGGGACCCATTGGCCGCCGCCGGCGCACAGGACCTCGTATTCGCCGTGTCCGTGCTCGCCGCCTCCGTAGGCAATGTAGGTGACCCCGTGCGAAGGATGCAGCTTGCCGGGAATCAGATCACCCTCATGGCGTGCGCGAGCAATGTACAACTGCTCGCTTCCGTCGAATCCTCCCTGCATGGAATTTGGTGGCACCTCTCCGTTGGCGGCTGGCACCCAGCATCCGGGACCACTGCCCGTTGGAGCAGCAAAGCCCATGGCCGGGGCCGATGGGGCAGAGTCTGTAAGAGAATAGGATCGTTACTCTCAGGGCCATTTTGCGAACCTCCAGTCCCAAAACTCACCATCCAACAACCAGGTACCGCTGGCACCCCAGCCCGTGCAGATGCCGACAAAGTTCACCGGGAACAGGTCTCCGGCATCGTAAGAGAGGAAGGCGGCAGCATCGCCCTCACGACCCACAGTAATGACATTGTCGTACCAGCGAATCCAGAAGCCGCGGAACTCTCCGGCGTCCAGAATCCCGGGCGTGGGCACCTCCACCAACTCGGGCTTTTGGCGGTCCTTGCGGATCACCGACTTGCTATTCTCCCATCCGCCCAGGAAGATCTCGTAGATGGGTCCGCTCTCTTGTGGGGAGGGGGTCAGAGCCAGATGGGCATCCTTGGGCGAGCGCACCTTGAAGGTGAACACTCCACCGCTGGCCGGGAAGAACTGGTACTCCAATTTATCGGGTGTGTTGATTTCTGTGAAAAAAAGAGGCACTCTTTTAGCTTTTGTTGCAGCTGTACCTGTAACCACATCTGAGTGGTGGGAAGGTTTGGAGGTTTGATCGCCAAATATCTGCCACAAACCACAGAGTGAATCTATCAGAAATATCAGAACTGGAACAGGCTGTACCGCAAAAGAATTCGCTGTTATTTTTATGTTTATATATTCTATATGTATACCACGACAGATATAGAATGTTTCTCAGAATGTTTAGCGTCTGTTTTTGTTTTCGCTTCTTTATTAGCGGCATTCGGCGTGATGTCATTCCGATTGCTGTTCGTTATTTCTGAAATGTTCTATCCCGTTCTAGCACTCAAGCTACGGCCGAGCCCAGCTTATAGCTCAAGAGTGAGGTGAGCCAGGTCTATGGTGTCTGTAACCCATACTCGAACAGATACGAACATTTGACTGGATCTGTTTGGATCTGTGTGATTGTTACACGAAAAGTTTTCCTAAGCAACATTAGTCCCATGACATCATTTAGGTGCATCTCGCTTGTCTGACCCCCAGGTTCTGGTTCCTCCCTAGCACATTCTTATTGATTATTGCCAGAGTTCAAGGCGAAGACTCAAGGTGTGACTCAGTCTGATTTGCTGTATACTATGTATGATTTTCGGACAATTTGAATGGCAACAAAATTAGATGTTTTCTTCGTTTGCACGATAATTGAATCTGGATGATGACAAGGTGAAAGTTGCCTACGTTTTCCACAGTCCAGTCCCGCGAAACTACTTTACATCTTTCCAGGGCATAAATCAATTGACACTATAAAAAATAACCTAACAATCAGAAATCTTCCCCACCAGATGATTTATATGTTTCGTTTACTTCAGATGTTTTCGATTCTAGGAGAATACTGACACAGTTCTTTTGCTTCTGCTTCTGCTTTTGCTTTGGGCGTTGGGCCAAAAGTTTCTCTGTATTCCACTTGCCGCTGTGTCTCTTTGTGTCAACGCTTACCCAATTAATAATATTCCATTATCCAATAGCTCTATGCACTCCACCCACACTCACTCCAAGGTACTCACCAATGGTCATGATTGCTGTTTTTCACTTTACGTTGTTCGCTTATTGAGATTCAGATTGGAACTGCCGTCATAGAGCTAATTTGCCGGCGAAGTAAGCCCCACACGACCCAAATGGGTGAGAGAGCGGCATCAGTGCGAAAACAGACTAAAAGCTCCAACAGCTTTCGCTCTGGCATTGTGTTGTGGTGTGCGATCATTGTTTCTGGTTACCAGAAAGTAGACGACTGTACCTGCCGGTAACTATTTTTGATTTCTGCATGCATATGCATGCCTTTTGCTGCAGTAGGTTGACTAATAAAATCATTTCCTCCATGATTATGTATAGCATAAGTACATATATATATGTATATGGTACACCTAAAAAAAAATATAAGTCATTTTAGACTTGAAAGAGTGTATGACGACTTCGGTGTTTCAAGGGTAGTTTTCGTAACTAGTTTCTCTCGGCACTTCTATGAGTCAGAGTTTAGCAAAAGCTGCTGCTGATGTCATCAAGCACAGCGAAAGCTTAAGAGGGAGCGAAAGAGGGTATATTAGTTTCGGACACAGCACTTAATATCGCTCTAGTCAGTTTGAGAAGATTAAGTAAATACGTAGAGTAGATAAGCATCGATGATTTATCGAATATTGCTAAAGTCTGTTTGATTTCCTAGGGTACTTTTAACGCTCAACGACCGTTTTAGACGTTCCCTTCTCAGTCTCTTTGGTTGTGCTTTCGTCATTTATGGCGTCATGTGTCGGATTTATTTGAATTTGTCACATGCGCGAAAACCAAACCTACCAAACCGGAGCACCAAAAGTTCTAGAGCAATGACTTCACCGCAGAGGCACAAGACGAGGCACTAAAATATATGAACAACATGTGAAAATTATTAACTATTTCCATTTCAAATCTGGGATCAATTATGAAGCATACTTTTAGGATAAATGGTTATATGACTTCACCTTCTGGGGCCGTCCGCCTGGACACCCCCTCCTAGCAGGGTGCGCCGGTTGCGCGACTTATCTTTCTTTTGCGTCATTTATTTTCGGTATCCCCTTTTATCGCTTGGAGTTTTCAAATGTTAGTCGATGCCGTTCCGTTTCGCCGGTTGGCCGCGCTCCTGCGTCTCCGTTTTTAAAGACACGTGCAGACAGAGCAGAGCTTTTCATCGGAACGAAAATAATATGCGATAAACAAATTGTGCTATTAGTAACAGCAAAAAAGTGCCAGGCAGTGCCAATTCTTGTGATAAGAGTCGATTAATTGCTCATTCCGCCACAGACTCGTACTATTGGTGTATTTATATCGCAGACCAGACACCTGAACAGACTTACATACTCGCCCATGTAATCGCATGGCAAACCATATGGCTGGCAGACGAATAAACAAACAATAAATGGTGCTTGGCTCGATAAAGCTTTTACAGTATACCGTTTAGGATTGGTGGTAACGTAGGCCGATCATGTTACTGGATGGGATTCGGATTACATTACTCGTAGCTTAGAGAGTACAATACCGTATGGATGAGTAATCATCGGAGCCTTATCTTATATGTGAATATCGTTCAGATTTGCACTTTATAGACTGACGAGCCCCCAAAAACCAACTACGCAGATAAGCGGGCAAAAAAACAAGTTAACTTTGTTTACACTTTCCCATTTAGCTTTATTGTTCCATTTGCATAACAGCTTGACCTCTGGAATGTAACACCAGACCCGCACAGAACAGCACTCAAATGCAATTCTATTAGGGAATATTTTCGTTTTCTCTGTTTCTTTAAATTGGAATAAATTAACACGATTAAATTAGGGTTTCCGTTCCTGTGCTTTGCACCACTTTCAAAAACAATTGCAAATCTGCGCGCAGGCTGGATGGGATGGGATGGGATGGGTATGGGCTGATTCAATTGGATTCAATTTACCCTCAGTTTCAATCCGGCCACTAGAATTTCTTAAAAGACAGGCCTCCTCTTCCCAGTGTCGAGGGAGCAGGAGCAGACAATTGAGACTAAAGTGCCCTAGGGCAATCAACTCAACACTTATATATGGACTATAGATAAATGGATGTACAGGAATGGAATAAATAGCGAAAGGAAAAGTTTAATACACTGAAAACCTGGCCACATTGTTTTCAAATGTATCTGCTCACGTGAAATATAAATAATTCTTATGAAATATTTATCTCAAAATTTAAGCAAAGATTTGTGTGTATGCTCTTCTCTTGACGAGCCCCTTAACACTTGAACACTTTTAAAAAACTATGTACATATGTATGTATGTATGTCCTATATATAAAGCGGTGTCTGGACCTTCGACTATACTATGTGTATATGCTTTTGTGGTGAATATCTGAAAGGTTGAAAAACTGGTTTCCCTTGCTCTCACTCTCTGAGACTTACCGAGATTTACCTTTTTTTTCGAGTTGATTTGATAACTGATTTACTGTGAATTCGGAACCCTTTGATATGTTATATTTAACTTCTGAATAATGTGATTCGCACTTGGTAATGGAGTTGTTCCGATAACTTTTTGCTTATCTTTTGCGTCTCTCTTTTGCGCTGCGTGGCTGTTTGTACCATGTACATTGTACATTGATATCTTGAGAGAAAAATGTCTTGTTTTGACAACATTTCTACACTCACATCACATCATTTTTGGAACGGAACCGGTTTGTCTGGCAAAGGTACCTACTTATGGTACTCAGCAATTGGCAAGGGCACCTTGAAAGTGACATAAATATATAGTATGTTTGTGAAATGTTCCTAAACATTTTATTTAGGGGGTCGGTCTTTCTTGCTGTTTTACTGTCAACACGTCAGATTTCAGATTCTCTTGCAAATTGCATAAAACACGAAGGCCGTCAGAGTGCGAGAAGTACAAACAACGAAATTTTATGCAAGAACGAAGAGTATTCATATATCGGGAGAGGAAAAGGGTACAGTGTAGGAAAAGAACCGGCGGGCGGAATATACACTCGTGACGCTCGTCACACACGATGAGAACGAACCGGACCCCTCTCTTTTCTCTTTTTCTCTCCCACTCGACAACAGCTGGTATATTTATACTATCCGACATGGGCTGGCTTTCGTTTCTTCCCTTTTCGAGAGTGATAACTGAAGCCAAGCCACGACGCTCAAGAGTTTGTTGAACAGTGTAAAACCACACAACCAACCAATGTGCTCTGCTCTCTCTTCTTCTCTCTGCCTGTGGGGCCACTTTTGGATATGTAATGCTAATGTGGTGTGGTGTGGAGAGCACGCGAGAGGTTGTATGTAGAAGCGAAACTATTTAATAAACCGTAAGTTAGCGCGATCGTCATTCGGTGGCGAAAAAAGCTCGGACAAACAACAAGTGGGCCAAAAACGCTAACGCTGAAGAGAAGCTAAAGCGGCAAAACGGAGCAATAAAGTGATCGAAGTTCAGTGGCAAAGGAAAAACAAGACAAAAACAAAACGCAAGAATATTTTAGCCAAATTAAAATCTGTGTGTGCCACTCGCTGCGCTGCGGCTATTTGCAAATTGCTCGCCGCAACTCCAGAAACCATCCTTATCCGCACCATGGCTGCTCAAACGGGTCCTACCACCAATCACAAAATAAACGGAAACGGGTGAGTAGTTTTCTTTGGTGTGATTATGTTTTTTTTCGATACGGTTCTGCGGTTGCATAAGCTGGCAGAACTGCAGAAATGTGCATTCGATTGCCAAGGAAAGCCATCTGCTCTGCTGTCTAGAAGAGTGCTTTCACTTTCCTCCCCTGTCCTGCCCCCGGGCCAGCGGAGGAGTTGGCCAAAATGTCTCGCCAATCGGTATCGTATCCCATAGGGATACATATAGTTTATAGTTTTATTTTAAATCGCTGCTGCTGCTATTTTGCTATTCTGTGATTCGGTGCCAATGCCATAGTTTTTGTTTTTCTCGATTCTGTTTTTCGCTTTTGTTTTGTTTTATCGCTTACTTACGCACACTGGTGGTGCCAGCCGGCCAAAATTTCCTCTGTCCTATGCGTTGTTTGTATACCCTATGAAAGGCTATTTGTTGTCATCATCAGAAGTTTTGTCGATCAATATTCACAAAATCTGTAGCTGCCAAAAGATCTTCGATCTCCAAAGAGATCGATGTAAGGATGTACTACTGTGTACTAAAACTAAGTACTTCCCTTCGATGCAGCTATTGGAGAGTATTTAAACTTCGCTTTCGATTAGCTGACAACTGTTTTCATTTTGTTTTGCTTTTCGATATTTGTGTTCTCAAGTGGTCTCCAAATGGAAAAGAGAGTAAATGGTATAATACTCGTACACCAAGAAGAAGAGATTAAGTCTCGTACTATTTCATTTATAGCTGAGGTTTAAAGGGTTTCGTTTCTGGTAGCAGCAGTTCTCGAGCGGGTATAAGCGTTAAGTGGACGTGTAAACAGTGTAATACTTTCGACAATTTCCATGCACTTTCGTGACAAATGTGCACTGCAAATGCATTTAAAAGCAGTACAAAAATATATCAATATTTAGCCAGCAGAGTTGTTAAGCACGTGTCGGACCCGATGTCACATACGACCTTGTGTTGGTGCCACCTTTGGAATTTTAGTTGGCAACGGGCAAAAAGTACCCGACGTACAACAGGTGTGGGAAATATGAATCACTGGAAGAAATGCATGTGCACTTTGAGTTGTAAGAACTGAACTTAAGGACTGGTGTTATCAGTGCTATCAGAACAACGCGCCCCCATCTTCTGATAGGCGAGCCCCTTCATTGTTTCCTACGAATCTAAATTGCCCTGGAAAATCCGGTAATACAGGTAGCTGATTGCATGACTATCGACATTCGTACTTTGCAGTTTTCCAGTTCCGACGCTTGACGAATTCCATCCGTTTGCATTTTCAAGTTGGCAGCGACGCTTAAAATTCCGGTTCCAGTCAATTTTACAGTACATATTTGTTTTTATTCTTTCTGGTAAAGACTTAATTATTAAAATCTAATTCTTCAGCGCAGCAAATCATAGATCACAAATATGTACATATATGTACATGTATTTATTTTATTACACGCCACGAATTGACACTTGACATGTATATGGTTTTTACATGCATCTTCTA